GTTGAGTCAAGTGAGGAAGAACCTGAAGCGTGTAGTCACGTGCAGTTGTAAGAGATAGCCCTTTCCTCGAATACAAGAGAAAAGCCAAGAGAAGCAAAACCGACACAAACTGAAGACAAAACTAGTGAGAATCCTAAGTATTAAAATGATTCAACTTAGCTTATGGCTATAATTTTTCTTGGTAATCCTATGCAATATATTATGCCATTTAGGCTTTGTTATGTAGTCAATATCACTTGCTTTATATTTGTGGAAAGACATCTATCTATATAATTATTGTGCATTATGTAGTCATTACGCCTATAGTAGAAAACTTTCCGTTTACAGAAAAACTAGAGCCAATTGACAAATTTCATTGTTATATTTGAACTCAGAATGTGAAATTCATTAAGAAATGGATCCTTTTGTTTCCAAAACTGGCAAAAAATAAAAATTTGTTGAACAGTGTTTTCTCTTACCTGCTCAAAAAAATGAAAGGAAGACTATGAAAACCCACCAGATCTCAATGGGGACAAAAATCTCCTGCTGGATCTCTATATAGATATGGATGGGGTAATGTGTTAGGAACATAAGGACACCCCATTGTTTGATGGAAATGAAAGTTATCAACCTACAGAGGACTGAATTCAAAGACACCCCGAAAATCAAAGTGAAAAAATGATGCAGCAACTCAGAATGGTCCTCAGTGGTTTGTATGCCCCCCACGTGCTTGTATGCATGCCTGACAACATCGGGGCGTTCTCCTAATGAGACCGGTGTCCTGGGGGATTTCCTCCCAGATCTTGACCAGGCATCACTGAGCTTCTGGACAGTCTGAGGTGCAACCTGGTGGTGTCAGATGGTCCGAAACATGATGTCCCAGAAGTGTTCTATTGGATTTAGGTCAGACGAGAGTGCGGGCCATGAGGGCCATTCTATGGTATCAATTCCTTCATCCTCCAGGAACTGTCTGCATACTCTCACCACATGAGGCCGGGCATTGTCGTGCACCAGGAGGAAACCATGACCCACTGCGCCAGGAGGAACCCAGGACCCACTGCATCAGTGTAGGGTCTGACAATGGAACCAAGGATTTCATCCAGATACCTAATGGCACTCAGGGTGCCATTGTCTAGCCTGTAGAGGTCTGTGTGTCCCTCCATTGACATGCCTCCTCAAACCATCACTGACCCACCACCAAAACGGTCATGCTGAACCATGTTACAGGCAGCAGAACATTCTCCACGGCTTCTCCAGATCCTTTCATGTCTGTCACATGTGCTCAGGGGGAACCTGCTCTCATCTGTGAAAAGCACAGGGTGCCAGTGGTGCACCTGCCAATTCTTGTGTTCAATGGCAAATGCCAATCCAGCTCTATGGTACTGGGCAGTGAGCACAGAGCCCACTAGAGGACGTCGGGCCCTCAGGCCACATTCTGTTTTCTGATTGTTTGGTCAGAGACATTCACACAAGGGGCCTGCTGGAGGTCATTCTGTAGGGCTCTGGCAGGCTCATCCTGTTCCTCCTTGCACAAAGGAGCAGATACCGGTCCTGCTGATGGGTTAAGAACCTTCTACGACCCTGTCCAGCTCTCCTAGAGTAACTGCCTGTCTCCTGGAATCTCCTCCATGCTCTTGAGACTGTGCTGGGAGACACAGCAAACCTTCTGGCAATGGTACGTATTGATGTGTGCCATCCTGGAGGAGTTGGACTGCCTGTGCAACCACTGTAGGGTCCAGGTATGGCCTCATGCTACCAGTAGTGACACTGACCCTAGCCAAATGCAAAACTAGTGAAAAACAGTCAGAAAAGATGAGCAGGGAAAAAATGTCAGTGGCCTCCACCTGCAAAATCATTCCTGTTTTGGGGGTTGTCTCATTGTTGCCCATCTAGTGCACCTGTTGTTAATTTCATGAACACCAAAGCAGCTGAAACTGATGAACAACCCCCTCTGCGACTTACCTGACCAGATCCATCTCCCAGGAGTTTCATTGACTTCTTGCTTTACTCTGATTTAAAGAGTCTTCCTCTCATTTGTTTGAGCCTTGTATTTTCTGAAAGCACATGGCCTGTAGAAATAAAGTGCTAATGATTTTTTAGGCCCAGCAGTAGTTACACAAATGTTCATCAAATCGCTTTGTTACCACAAATACAGTAAAATCATTAGTGCACACAAACACAACCCTGCTATATTGCTCTGAAGGTCTTGTTCACATGGGGCGTACTAATGTGTATGGTGGTAGAGGGCCATGTATACCCTCAAGGGGGTGCCCATGTGTTCCATGCATCCCCATGCAGGCAGTCCCATTCATGTCTATTGGGATACATAGCCGCTGCTCCCAATCTGACATCTGTGTGGGGGTTTGGGTGTAGGACCCCGACCGCAGGCAGCATGAGCTCAGGGACATGGAACCAGAACTACATGGATGTCAAAATTGGGAGCAACGGCTGTGTTCTCGCAGTCACTACATCCCAAATGACATGAATGGGACTCCCTGCACAGGGATGCATGGAACACCTGTACACCCCTGTGCAGGTAAACCCAGCCTTGCAGGGGGATACGCTGTGCATGCCGTGTGTGAACAAGACCTTACTATTTAGGGATGCACCAATACCGGGATTGGGAACAGTGCAGATACCGAGTATTGAGTGATCGTAAAAATACTCCTGATACCCAAAACTGATACTTTGTGGTACAATTTACATCCATACAAAATGACTGACTGAGCGCAAATCACACTGCAAAGAATGGCATGTGGTATGAACAGAAATGCGCTGTGATTCCTGTCTAATTCTTTTGCAGTTTCCCGCACCGCTCCTGTGTGAACCCCGACTGACATCACTGTGACATGACACATAGGATGCGGTGGGGGAAACTGCATGCAATTTGGGCAGGAGCTGCACCGCATATCTGTTCAAATCGCATGTCATTCTTTGCAGTGTGATTTGCGCCCATTCATTTTGTATGGACGCAAATTGCGGCGCAAATTATTGGTGCATCCCTATTTTATATATTTTTTTTAATCGTTTGTTTATTTTATAATTTTATTTCAAATATGTTGTTTTTTTTTTTGGGGGGGGGGCTTTGGCAAGATATCAGGGGTCAAACAGACCCCTGATTACTCTTTTCTGAGACCAAGAAAGGGACTGAAGGCAGTCCCTTGCTTGCTCTGCAGCCTAAGCTGCACATTACATGAATGAATGAGGAGTCTGTATAGACTGTTTACTATGCTGAGTTATCAATGGATATAGAAGTGATCAGTAGTACTTCTAGGTATGGTAAACCTCTCACAGAGCTCACAGAACTCCCCCTGACAATATCGCCATCTGCTTTTCTCTCTAGGTGGGCGGCACCATCTTTATTCAGGCATCATCCAGGGTCACCATCCACTTCCTGGACTGCGATGTAAGTTCAGAGATAACACATTCATGGAAATCCTGTTGCCTGTGTAGTCCTTGGCTGTGTTCACAAATGTTTGACACAGATCAGCCCCTTGCTGCAGCATCTCACCTTGATTTTCTACAAAGTTACAATGTTGCAATCTGATCAAGTGGGGGAGAGGAGACTAGGGGAATGCTCCCTCCTGACTGCATCATCTCTGCCTAGGCAAAGTCACTGACTGGAGATCAAGGATGAATTTTCAGTGATAAAAGGTGGCGCTTTTCTGAACAATGACCCTGTCGCTGTACATTGTGACATATCAGGAATTATTCATACAGTCTGGTGCAGTTACTGACAGGTCCACTTTACTTTTTACAAGTTTTTGGCATTTGGATTTAAACATGACTGTCAGGTTTCCTCTGACACAAAAGGAACATCTGCGTCTCTTCTAAATAACATGAAGGCATAGGCAGGGACGGACTGACAACTCATGGGGCCCCCGGGCAATAGGGGATCATGGGGCCCCTGTGTCCTCGCCCAAACTCAAAAAAGCCTATGAAAAAGGTACCAGGGGCATCTCATGGGGCCCCCTACTGACCCCAGACTCTCGGGCAGTGCCCAGTTTCCAGACGGTCAGTCCGCCCCTGGACATAGGTTTGCTTGATGTGAAAGTGAAAGCAATCGCACATATTTCTGTAAGGTGGAGCGACATTTCACCCCCTCCCCTGTATACAGACATTATCCCAGGGAGAGGAGAAGACGAGAATACAACCATTACTGACCAGAGACCGGCTGTGATCAGAGAAAAGGAGAGAGAAGGAAATGGCAGCATCAGGGGAAGAGGGGGCAATACTGAATTATCAGGGGAGCAGCACTGTATGTGCATGGAGCGGCACAACGATGATCAGGGGAAGCAGCACTGAATGTGCATGGAGAGGCACCGATTGATCAGGAAGCAGCACTGAATGTGCATGGAGAGGCACCGATTGATCAGGAAGCAGCACGAATGTGCAGGAGGCACCAGATTGATCAGGAAGCAATAATGAATGTGCAGGGAGAGGCACCGATTGATCAGGAAGAGCACTGAAGCAGCACTGAATGTGCATGGAGAGGCACCGATTGATCAGGAAGCAATAATGAATGTGCATGGAGAGAGGCACCGATTGATCAGGAAGCAGCACTGAATGTGCATGGAGGAGAGGCACCGATTGATCAGGAAGCAGCACTGAATGTGCATGGAGAGGCATCGATTGATCAGGAAGCAGCACTGAATGTGCATGGAGAGGCACCGATTGATCAGGAAGCAATAATGAATGTGCAGGGAGAGGCACCGATTGATCAGGAAGCAGGAACGGTAAGATGATCCAAGTCCATTCTAAACATCTGTCTATACTTTGTAACATAAAGGCCCAGCAATCATTTCTATATGTACTGAGGAGTGCAGAAGAGTCTCTCGCCATATAGTCCAATGATGGATGCAAGGTGGTTCTCTCGTTCTGGGAGGAGTCACATGACGTTCTCCCATTCTCAGCGCGGCTCAGGGAGCGTGCAGCGTGGCGATTGGCGGTGCGCTGTGTCCCTCGGACACAGCGGATCACCGATCCACGGACAGAGCCGAAGATGTCGGCTTGGTCATGTGATCAGCTGTGTCCAATCACAGCTGATCACATGTAAAAAGGGAAATGCCGGTTATCAGCATTTCTCTCCTCACAAGCTGTCACACTGACAGAGGAGAGGAGAGACGGTAATCGGCATTCCGCAGAGGGGACATGTACACTGATCATCAGGGCCCTGATGATCAGTGTGGCCCCATCAGTGCCACCTGTCAGTGTCCATCGGTGCCAGCTGTCAGTGCACATCAATGCCATATATCAGTGCCCATCTGAGTGCCCATCTGAGCTTTCAGTGCCACCTATCAGTGCCAGTCAGTACCACCTATCAATGCCAATCAGTGCCACCTATCAGTGCTGCCAATCAGTGCCACCTATCAGTCAGTGCCAGTCAGTGCTGCCTATCAGTGCCCGTCAGTGCCCTATCAGTATCAGTGCCCCTCAGTGCCCGTCAGTGCCGCCTAACAGAGCCAGTCAGTGCCACCTAACAGTGCCAATCAGTGCCATATATATCAGTGCCAGTCAGTGCCGCCTCAGTGCCATATATCAGTGCTGCCTTTCAGTGCCCATCAGTGATGCCTGTCAATGCCCATCAGTGCCACCTACCAGTGCCTCCTCATCAGTGCCCATCAGCGCCACCTATCAGTGTCCATCATTGTAGCCTATCAGTGCCCATCAGTGCAGCCTCGTTAGCGCATCAGTGAAGGAGAAAAATCACTTTTTTGCAAAATTTTATGACAAAAACTAAAACTTTTTTTTTTTTTCAAAATTTTCAGTGGTTTTTGGTTTCTTTAAGAAAAAAAAAAAAACCCCGATGTGATTAAATACCGCCAAAATAAAGCTCTATCTGTCACAAAAAAATGATAAAAATTTCATATGGGTACAGTGTTGCATGACCGCGCAATTGTCATTCAAAGTGTGACAGCGCTGCTGAAAGCTGGAAATTGGCCTGGGCAGGAAGGGGGTAGAAGTGCCTGTAGGCAGGAAGGGGGTAGAAGTGCCCAGTGGGCAGGAAGGGGGTAGAAGTGCCCGGTGGGCAGGAAGGGGGGGTAGAAGTGCCCTGTAGGCAGGAAGGGGGGTAGAAGTGTCTGTAGGCAGGAGGGGGGGTAGAAGTGCCCTGTAGGCAGGAAGGGGGTAGAAGTGCCCTGTAGGCAGGAAGGGGGTAGAAGTGCCCTGTAGGCAGGAAGGGGGTAGTAGAAGTGTCCTGTAGGCAGGAAGGGGGGGGTAGAAGTGTCCTGTAGGCAGGAAGGGGTAGTAGAAGTGTCCTGTAGGCAGGTAGGGGGGAAGTGCCCTGGGGGGAGGGGGGGTAGAAGTGTCCTGTAGGCAGGAAGGGGGTAGAAGTGCCTGAGGGGCAGGAAGGGGGTAGGGGGTAGAAGTGCCCGAGGGGCAGGAAGGGGGTAGAAGAAGTGCCCTGTAGGGGCAGGAAGGGGGTAGAAGTGTCCTGTAGGCAGGAATAGGGGGGGGTAGAAGTGCCCTGTAGGCAGGAAGGGGGGGTAGGGTAGGCAGGAAGAAGTGCCCAAGGGGCAGGAAGGGGGTAGAAGTGTCCTGTAGGCAGGAAGGGGGTAGAAGTGTCCTGTAGGCAGGAAGGGGGTAGAAGTGTCCTGTAGGCAGGAAGGGGGGTAGAAGTGCCTGTAGGGGCAGGAAGGGGGTAGAAGTGCCCTGTAGGCAGGAAGGGGGTAGAAGGTAGGCAGGAAGGGGGTAGAAGTGCCCGAGGGGCAGGAAGGGGGTAGAAGTGCCCTGTAGGCAGGAAGGTAGAAAGTGGGTAGGCAGGAAGGGGGTAGAAGTGCCCAGGAAGGGGGAGAAGTGTCCTGTAGGCAGGAAGGGGGTAGAAGTGCCCTGTAGGCAGGAAGGGGGTAGAAGTGCCCGGTAGGCAGGAAGGAAGGGGTAGAAGCGTCCCGTAGGCAGGAAGGGGGTAGGCAGGAAGGGGGTAGAAGCGTCCCCCGTAGGCAGGAAGGGGGGTAGAAGTGCAGGAAGGGGGTAGGCAGGTAGGCAGGAAGGGGGGTAGAAGTGCCTGTAGGCAGGAAGGGGGTAGAAGTGCCCTGTAGGCAGGAAGGGGGTAGAAGTGCCCTGTAGGCAGGAAGGGGGTAGAAGTGTCCTGTAGGCAGGGAAGGGGGTAGGAAGTGCCCTGTAGGCAGGAAGGGGGTAGAAGTGCCCGGTAGGCAGGAAGGGGGTAGAAGTGTCCTGTAGGCAGGAAGGGGGTAGAAGTGGTAGAAGTAGAAGTGTCCTGTAGGCAGGAAGGGGGTAGAAGTGCCTGTAGGCAGGAAGGGGGTAGAAGTGCCCGGTAGGCAGGAAGGGGGTAGAAGTGTCCTGTAGGCAGGAAGGGGGTAGAAGTGTCCTGTAGGCAGGAAGGGGGTAGAAGTGCCCTGTAGGCAGGAAGGGGGGGGTAGGCAGGAAGTAGAAGTGCCCTGTAGGCAGGAAGGGGGTAGAAGTGCCCGGTAGGCAGGGGGTAGAAGAAGGCAGGAAGGGGGTAGAAGTGTCCTGTAGGCAGGAAGGGGGTAGAAGTGTCCTGTAGGCAGGAAGGGGGTAGAAGTGGGTGAAGTGTCCCTGTAGGCAGGAAGGGGGTAGAAGTGTGCCCGGTAGGCAGGAAGGGGGTAGAAGTGTCCTGTAGGCAGGAAGGGGGTAGAAGTGTCCTGTAGGCAGGAAGGGGGGTAGAAGTGTCCTGTAGGTGAGGGGTTAAAGATGAGATAAGATCATTCATCCAGAAACTGTCAGCGGTCCAATCAGCTGCAGCTGTTGAATTTAGTTTTATGTGGCGGGGGGGGGGGGATACTGGTGACATCATTGATCCTATGTGGCCCCGTGGTCATATTTTGGAGAATGTCCTGGACCAAGTCTAACCATGTGGCCTTTTTAGGTTGATGATATCACCAGCCTCCCCGCTCCTTTTTAGGAATGTCTTCAGGGCAGGGAATTCCATGGCTGCAGAAAAAATGAGGAAGGGTTGTAACAGCGCAAACACTGCAAAGTCCTGGGAAATGGTAGTATGGGGTGATGGTGGGTATTAGTGGCTGCTGTATGAGAGAGCGTAGGATTCCGTGTGGCACTGAGGGCAAGGCTTCCAAATAAGCTGTAGCAACTTCTGTAGATGAGAAAAGGAGAGAAGCGCCTCTAAGTGCAATAAGTCTTTTTATTCAAGTCTGAATGTAGAAACACTCACATGTGTGAAGTAACCGTGGTTACCAATAGTTACCGGGGGGGTGGTGACCCGGGTGAAGAGCCGTCATCTTACTGCGATGTGGGGAGGTCAGCTCTCGGCTGGAACAGCGTGGTGGCTGGAGGGGAACAGCGGTGAGGCCCGGCCGGCGTGTACGTCCTCCCTCAGAGCCGGATGGAACGCACGCTGGAACGCAGCGGCAGCGTGGCCGTGATGACGTCAGATCCCAGGGTGCACTGCAACGCGTTTCGGAGCATGCGCTGGCCGTGGAAGGCGGAAGTGCGCTCCTTTTTCAAGCAGGGGGAGGTGGTGGATGAACAGGGGGGGAATATATAGGGAACGCGAGTCTAATTGATCAATTAACCAATTAACCAGTGATTGACCATTGCTGCCAGGTGAATAGTGTAAAGTCATGGATGTTAAATGGGGGGGGGGGGGGGGGGGTAAAGGAAACCAAATGGAAAAAAGAGAGGATGTAATAAATAAGAAAAAAGAAAGAAAAATGATGAAATGAAAAAAATGATGATGAAAAAATGAAAAAAATGAATGAAATGAAAAATGACATTAATAAAAGATTTTTGAACAGTTGAAAATCGAAGAAGCTATGTGAAAAAAGTTGATGGGGGTAATAAGAATACAGAATAAAAAAGGAAGCAGAGCTAAAAAAATAAAAAAATTAAAGAATTAAAAAATTAAAAAAATGTATAGTGGTGTATATATATGTTATGTTATAAGATTAAAATTAAATTATTAAATTTACTAAATGTGTGAGATTAGTGGGGTAAAAGGTTCACCTTGCAGCACTGGGACATCAATGTAACAGTAGAGAGCAGATATTTGGTGGTCATACAGCATGATTGCAGGGTGGGATCTGGTTATGGCTCTACAGGAGCTTCATGATAATTATGACATCTATACATGTTGCTAGCGGGTATATTGACAATGGGTGCTAACATGGTAGGATGATAAACATATTGGTAATAGTACATGCAAATGACATTATAAAGAGTAAATTACATTGTAAAAATAGTAAAAAATAGAATAAAGTATAAATAATGAACAAAAGGTTATTAATAATAAACTAAAATTGGATTAAAAAAAAAATTCAATAAAAAAATTCACCACTCTCTCTATTTGTCCGGTTTCCCATTATCACTGAGAGGGAAAGTACAAGAAAATCCCACATTGTGGGTTGTCACCAGAACAGAAATAGAGGAGAAATCTTCCAGTGGGGACACTAGATCTGGTGACAACCAGATTCTCTCACTTTGGAGGGATTTCCTCTCAATTCCTGTTTTGGCTATGGGACAGAATGTGAAGGGAAATCTCCCCATTGGGACACAGGTGGCAAAAAAAAAAAAAACCCTGACAGGGGTTCTAACCCTCCATTACACTATATCCACAATGAAAAAAAAAAGTTTTGCCTCTATCTCTACTTAAGCTCACATAAAGGGCCTCTGGGAGATTATGTGAAGGGGTTCATAGAGAAGAGTTATTTACAAAGACACGGGGGCCCCATGTACTAAAGACTGAGGTCATATCCCATCATATGATGGAGGAGATTTAGGCCATGTAACTCTTTTTCTTTCATACCATTTAGTTAGAGGGGGATGGGAGGGGTTCATGTTTTGCCTTGAGTTGGGCTTTAAATTTACCATTAAAGTGTTGTTATATCTGTTCAATACATTGATCCTGCCAGAAATCCTGTGTTGTCTGTTATCAGTTACATTGTTTCCAGCTGTTTCTGAGGACAATAGAACACCTACTTCTACATTTTGAAAACAAAGAGAGGTGAAGGTGCTTTGTAGTCCTGTCCAGTTTCTGTTATTCTATTACAGTACAGTGAGTGTTGTCACCCTAGGGCAGGAAGTGTGTTACTGGCAGGATCACCAGGTGATAATAAAGGAGAAAGAAAACTAATGCAGATACCACATCCAAGGACAGATGATCTGCAATATATGACATTTCTGTTTTGGAGTTTAGATATATACTCACCGGCCACATTATTAGGTATTCCTGTTCAATTGTTTGGTAGTACACAAATTGCTAATCAGCCAATCACATGGCAGCAACTCAATGCATTTAGGCATCTAGACGGGATGTGAAGACGATTTGCTGAAGTTCTGCATCAGAATGGGGAAAAAGGGGATTTAAGTGACTTTGAACGTGGCATGGTTGTTGGTGCCAGACGGGCTGGTCTGAGGATTTAAAAAAACTGCTGATCTCCTGGGATTTTCACGTACAACATCTAT